CAGTTGAGCAGCTACGGAAGACGCAGACGGAGCACCTGAAGAAGCAGAACACGGCCATCTTCGCGGACGACGTCACCAGCGGCCGTCTGCGCGACTACGAGCTGGACATTGAGCGACGCTGTCAGGAGCTCAACGTCCTCTTCGGCCGACTGCACTCCATTCTGAAGCACTTTCAGACGCTGAAGGGGCGCTATGCGGCGGCGGCGGCCACTGACGGCGGCGGGGGCGGCGGCGGCAATCGAATGATCTCAGTCATCCTGCGCAACATCTTCCAATTTCAGGTGCAGGAGGTGGTGCAGCTGACGCAGCTCTTCCGCTCCTGCCAGCGCGTCTACCTCGAGCGGATGACCGACGCGACGCGCGTCGATCCGCAGTTTGTCATCACCTTCGATGAGGACCTGCTGAAGGAGGAGCTGCTGCTCGATAGCCACGACTTCGGCAGCAGCGGCAGCAGCAANCTCGATAGCCACGACTTCGGCAGCAGCGGCAGCAGCAACAGCAGCTCCGGCATTCGTCTGATGAGCGACGATTCGGTCTTCTTCGAACAGGGAACAAGCCATCAGCAGCAGCAGCAGCAGCAGCAGCAGCTTCAAAAGCAGGCGCAGCTGCCCATGGACGACCAGCTGGCGCTGGACGCCCAGCACAACGCCCACCTGCGCGAGCGGCAGGCGGAGATGAACGCCATCCTGAAGAGCTTCGCCGAGCTGAACACCCTCTTCCAGGAGGTGAACACGCTGGTGGTGGACCAGGGCTCCGCCCTCGACCGCATCGACTACAACATTGAGCAGGTGGAGCACCGGGTGGAGCTAGGGGCCGTCAGCCTGGAGAAGGCCCACCGGACCATCACGCGAATGCGCAAGTTCAAGGTCATCCTCGGCTCGGGCCTGCTGCTCTTTGTCATTCTGCTCTTTATCATCATGCGATCGTAAAGTGTGATGCACAACAAGGGTTTTGGTAGAAACACATTAGCCTCATTTGATTGACCAATCTGTAGCACACATTTTT